GCGCATATAGAGGTCAGTGGAATTCTAGATTGAGTTAGCTAGTTACAGCCTCCACAGCTGAGTAACATGCTAACACTCATTGCTAAGACCGGAAACTGAAATCGGACATTCAGGATGAGCTACCAGAAGATTAATCCCTTCAATAAAAGTGTACATTCAACCCAGAATCAGGACGTGAGGGGATAAAACTGAAAAAAAAGGCAAATAGACGTTTGAAGGAGTCTGTGTAACAAGCCAAATGTGTATTGCGGGTGGGTAGAAATGTTCTGGCAATGACATTATCTTAAGACTTTCAAAACATCACAGTCATTGTCATACTGAGTGAAGCTGAGGCATTTGTATTGTATGAGGCTTGTTTCAAACTTGGCAAGGCAGTGACTCTAAATCACGAAGATGTTATATAATAACTAAAACTGTAATATTTCATTCTAATGTGACCCATTACTTTAACTGACAGGGATTGTTTGAAGTTGGCATCCACTCCTGAAGATCCCACTATCAGAATGTAATGAACTTAGCAGCAAATAGCACCGATGATACTAAGCCATACTGAATCTTTACGTATTTCCATAATGAGTATAATATCCTCTTATACAGATCAAACTATGGCCAACGAATTTTTCGTGACTCATTAGTGTCACCTGTAACACACTTGACTGACCAATTGTTCCATTTCACAGTTTTCTCAGGAGAAAAAACTGATACAAGTGGCACCCAATAAGAGCCTGTAAATACCTCCCTATCTGCTCCTGAAGCTCAAAGCATGTTGAGTATAGATGATTTTATAAAAAAACAATTTATTGAAGCTGTTTCTAGCCAGATTGGTCTTAGGTTGAAAGACTGTCAGATTCCCACTCTGTGTCAAGGCCCTAGTGGTTGGCAATTCAGTAACCCACAATTCTATTACTTTTACATAATTTTTTTCATTTATCAGGCAAAATTACCTTGTGGCATATTTCTCTGTTTACAACTTTAACGAAGTATCTTGTGTGGCCTTTCCTCAGAAGATAATATGCCTTTCATTGAAGCAGCTTATCCATGTCACATGTTATATTACAAGGAAATATAATCCTTAATTACACAGCTGCCTTCCTACCATGTGATATTTTATTTTTGGAACATTTAAGAAAATGAAATGTAAATTCATGGATTTCATAGTAGCTCTCTTTTGGAGAAAGGAGGCAGAGATAGAAAGGTTGGATCAGAAGTGAGAAGAGCAGGTCAAACCAGTCAATGTACAGTGAGGTGATTGATGGAGGGGATTGGTGATGGAGAGTGGTTAGAGGGTTGTTTTTTTATCAATAATCATACTATGAATAGAAGAATTTACTTAGGGAAAGCTCACTGTTGACAAGGTAACTATCAAATCCCACACCGGAACAAAACTGTGACTAATATTGTACATGTTTTTTTTGGGTCATACTATTGGGTAAATAATAAACAGGGAGCCTGTCTGTTACTTTGTGGTACATGTGTGTGTGTGTGTCTGTGTGTGTGTGTGTCTGTGTGTGTGTCTGTGTGTGTGTGTGTGTATGTGTGTGTGTGTTTACTAGTGTGTGTATATATATGTGTGTGTGTGCCTGTGTGTGTGAGAAAGTGTGT